GGTACTGAAATGCCTAAAACAAGACGCTTGGCCCTAATAAACTGGTTTCTATATTTGCTATGTTCCACAGACATGATGTAGGGAAAAAGTAAGTTTTGACAGATTCTTAGAGGAATCCCTGAAAAGACAGTGTTTGAGAAACAAAAGCTCCGGGTCAGAATCAGGCTAACCCAGGTTCAAGTCCTGACTCTGCCACCAAGTATGCTTATTGTCTGTCTTCAGTATATACTGAAGAGGTAATAGAACCTATCACCTTCTGAGAAAGAAATAAATGAAATAATAAATAATCTACATTAAATTGTCAACAGCTTTGAATCCTTTTTGGAAGAAGATGGGATAGATTTAAAAAGGAAAAAAAAAGTGTTTGTATTATGTCTGACACTTAGTAACTGGTGAGCAAATGGTATCTATTATAATTATAGAGAATGTAACAACCAGATTAGTCACAGAAGGCACACAGCTAAGGATTTCAGAAAATTTCCTTAAATTTCACTTGCCAAAGAAAATATTGGAACTGAGACTCTGGTTATGTAGAGCTTTTACTGGAAAAAACAGTGAAACTTTTCTTTTTGAAGTATCACTCAGGTTTTATCCAGTTAATCCACCAGAGGGAAAATATTCTATCACTCTATGTCCATCAGGAAAACGTTGCCACTCTTATATCACTTAATAAGAAAATCAGTTTTGTTGCTAATCTTTATCTGTTTAGTGAAGCAGAAACAGGAAGAAGTTGTCACTCCTATATCATTTAATAGGAAAATCAGTTTTGTTGCTAATCTTTACCTATTTAGTGAGATGGAAGCGTGCAGAACTTGAGTACAAATCTTAATTCATTTAATATTTTCATTACTTCTTCATTCTTCAGGACTTCACATCCTAGTTACTGTTTTGAGGATTTTAAGTCTTAAACTAATGGCATCTGATTTATCTTCAGATTCAGACTATATACATTTTAAAATGATGAGAAATAGATTTTGTAATGCCTAATACTTGGTGTTTTCTTGATTAAAAAGGGAAAAAAAAGGAAGTGTTTAATAAACTTCAACAGCAGATAGCTATAATTCACAGATACAGGTTATTTTCTATTGAGTATTTTTAAATGAATATTTATCAATATATGTATGGAAACTGTAGTTAAAAGAAACCTTTTTATTATGGAATATTTCAAGTATATACCAAGCTAGAGTATGGTATAAGAACCACCATGGACTTAGCACAGTCTTAACCATTACCAGCTTGTTACCAATCTTACTTCTGCACTTTACCCCGTTGAATTATTTTATAGCAAATGCCTTACATTATATCATTTCATCTGTAAATTTCAATATGTATCTCTAAGATATGAGGATAATTTCTCTCTTTAATCATCTTCCTATAAAAAGCCAACAGTATTTCTCTAATTTCATCAAATACTAGTTAGTATTAATTCTTCCCCTACTGTCTAATAATATTCTTTATTTTAGAAGTTTAAATCAGAGTCCATACAAGATTTATGAATTGTGTTATTGTCTCTTAAGTCTTTTTTTAATCTAAATTTCAAATTTTCTCTCCCATCTTTATTTTTTTAAATTGCTTGCATTTTTTTTTTTTTTTTGGTGAAAAACATTTATCTGTACAGCATGATTTTAAAATGTTTTTTAACTTAAAATAACAATAGTTAACCTATTACTTGTTAGTATACATAAGCATAATTTTTTATGAAGGAAAACCATAGTTTACAAAACAACAATAAAAAAGAGAGAAGTGACTTTGTTTTAGATTTTTGCATATTTCCTTTATGTCTGGCTTAATATAGTGCAGCTGAATTTTCTTAACTGCTTCTATATTCAGTCTTGCAATATGTTTTGATTGAAGTATGAAGAAAATCTGGCTTCATGCAGATAATAGGGTTTGAAAAGGGAAAGCAGTGGTGAACATTCTTTTTTGATACTACACTAAAAGTTGAAAACTAGTAGTTTCTTCAGTATTTCAGTGTGCAATTTGAAACCCTTTCAGTGAGCTTTTCATACTCTGTTACATTAAAATCCATTGGTCTGTCTTACCATAACCTAATTTCATAACACCACATATTGATCAGTTGGAAAATACAGCTTCACTGCAGTATAAAGATCTTCCAAATGTGGCCATATTTCATTATATAGTGTATAAGAAATCATGTTCATTAATGTCATCACCCATCTACTTAGAAAAGTCTTTAGGTATTGGGAAGCTGTCATGCTCATGGTAGTGCATACACATTTTCCAAACTTGTGATTTTCCCTTGAAATTTCAAATTTTGTCATTGGCAACAAATGTGGTCAGTGTTTTCTTTGAAGTAATAGTCTTACTTCATTTGTTTTGTTTGCCAAATATCCAAATCTGAATACCAAAAAACCAAACGCACTGCTGTCCAGTAGGATCCCACTCATAGCAACCCCTCCTTGGGTTTCTGAGGCAGTATCACTACGGAAATAGATTGCCCAACCTTCCTTCTGAGAAGTGGCTGGTGGGTTTGAACCCCCAGCCTTCTGGTTAGCACTATTCAATAAATGACGTTCACTGAAAGAAAGCCGTGTACTCAGCTCTCATCTTAAACAGTTCACAAGTGCTGTTCCTTGCAGCAACCTGTAGTACTTTGGTGCACACAAGTGCTGTCTGTGTACTTCCCATTTGCCACAGAATAATGGACACGTGCGTATTCATGAAGTGAGATTGCGTGACATTTCATTTTTTACTGTGCATGACAATATGGTGTCTACTATTACAGTTTGGTGCTGCTACTCCAGCAGTCTGTCCACTGTTGTGCCATCAGTGCAAATGTCAACACAGTGGAGAGGACAAGTAATGCATGAGCATTTTTATGAAAATGGTTTTGACTCCTTGGACCTTCTGTAATGATCTTGGGAGAAATGCTGCTTTAGAGTTTGTGATAGTCTGGATTTTGCTCCTTTTATCTTTACAGTGTGGTCTGATATATTCCTTTGTCTCTGGTATTTCTTGTAAATAGGCTTGATCAGATTAGGCTTGATTTTTTTCTTTCTGGCAGTATTACTTCATAAATGGTATTCTACTTATGGTTATGTTCTTAGAGCCATTGATGACCCTTGTCTAGAGTTATTAATTTACTGAGGGTTGCAAATGGTAACATTCTAGTTCTTTAGGTATTTGTTGGAATTTTTCTAAAGAGAAATTTCTTCTTATCAACTATATTTGATTACCCTGAGATATAATTTATATGGGAAAGGCATGATAAATCCTTGATTCTTTTCTTTTTCCCAAATAATGAGTTGGTTTCCTTGAATCCTCAAATGACTCTGTTGATTTGTTTTGAGTGTTGTCATGAACTCATGGATTAAAACTTAGTTGATGTATTTTAGTTCACTCCAACTGTGATCCTTACTTTGGCCAACAGGACCCTATTCAGGTTGACTCCTGAGTTCTTTTGACTTGACCTCTGTTGTTTTTGAAAGCTTCCTTGCTTTCTAGTTTGACAAGATGTCCCATGCTCATCTTGCACATTTCCTGCCCCTGACCAGAAATCAGCTCTTTCTCTCTGGAAACTTGGTTCTTTCAGTGAGAAATGGTATTTAGAGACCACATTCTGGGCATTAAGCTTCTTGTTGTTATTGATTGGTGGTGATTTGTAGATTTCTGAAGAAATACGCATTTTTCAAAAAGATAAATTTTATTATGAAGTGATAGAGATACTTCCATTCAAATTTAGGGCCCATAGATCTTGTATCATTTGTTGATGACCGCATACTTGCTTATTTGTTTTATCCCATACTACACAGACACAGGAACCCTGGTGGTGCAGTGGTTAAGTGCTCAGCTTCTAACTGAAAAGTCAGATTGTTCAAACCTACCCAGTGACTCCATGGGAGAAGAGACCTAGTGATCTTTTCCCATAGACTGTTGCTGTTGTTGCTAGATGCCTTCAAGGTGATTTTCGACTCATAGTGACCCTTGTGACAGAGTAGAACTGCCCCAGAGGGTTTTCTAGGTTATAATATTTACAGGAGCAGGTCACCAGGTCTTTTCTCCTGTGGAGCCACTGGATGAGTTCAAACCTCTAACCTTTTGGTTAGCAGCAGAGCACTTAACCACTATGCTACCAGGGCTCCTTCTAGTAGTGATGACAGCCTAGGAAACCCCACGGGGCAGTTCTACTCTGTTATACAGGACTGCTGGGATCACAGTCGACCCAACAGCAAACAACAGCAGCAAGACAGAATCAGTGCATTAATACTACTACCAATGATATGGTTACAGAAAACAGCAAAAGACTTTGTTTTTTTTTTTTTTTTAAATGAGAATTAAAAGCATTATCAATTTAGCTAGCCAAATTGATCATTTTAATGCTGTTGTTCACAGTACTTTTTTGAGATCATCTTCCCCTGGAACACAGATTGGGAGATATTTCAGCTGACCTGAATAAACTGATTTTCTGACTCAGTCACTTCATGCATTCCTGTACTGATAGAACAGACATTTAATTGATAAATTTGGGTATGGATCACAGCCTAAAGTTGACTGAATTTTCTTTTTATTTTATACACAAATGACCTCTTTTTTGTTTTACTGTAAACATTTTATATTACTTCTGTACCTTATCCATACCACATCTTTTTTTAGCATCTTAAAACAAGAGAGCAAGGCATTCTATCTGTATGGCATCATGATATTTTTTTGTTTTAAATGAATATTCTATGAAACATTGATTTCCTTTCCTTTTTAAGTATAGCATAATTTTACCATGGCACACTTTTCAACTTAGAAATTATATGAAGATTTTTTTCTCTTGTATAACTTATCATGAATTCCACTGGAAAAAATAGTCATATTTTTGAAGCATTCATTTTTTGATCTATGGATATATAGGGTATTTTTAAGAAAATTAACACAATTAAGGGAAACTTAAGTAATGATCATTTAAATAAAAACTAATTTGCCTTTGGAATATTAGCGATATGTTTTGGGTTTTTTCCCCCACTTCCAGGTTTAAAAAAAAAAAAAAAACCATGACTGAATCTGCCTCTAGTACAAGTGGTCAAGAGTTTGATGTATTCAGTGTTATGGACTGGAAAGATGGAGTAGGCACGTTACCAGGAAGTGATTTAAAGGTAAGCTATCTTTATTATAGGTCATTATTTGTGTGTATGCATCTGTACATGTGTTTAATTTAAAATAGATATAAAAAGATATGAAGCAAGAATGAAAAGCATTGTGCATAGTGTTGTGGGTTTTATATGATGTTTAGACCTCTAAGATAAACTCTTAAGGTGATTTGAAATGCTGATAGATTAGCAGAAGCTTTGTCACTTTGGAATAGGAGATTGAGGAATATTTCTGCAGTATGTGCTCAGTTTGGAAATTGATTTATAGCCTTAGGAAGGATTGTCCGGGTTTTGACTACGTCATGGTGACCAGTAAATACAAATGGCAGACGTAGAAGACCTAGCTTCTTATGTTTTATATTAACGGGCTTTGTAACTTTAAGTGAATAATAACACATCCTGTGTCCTAGTTTTCTCATTTGCAAACTGGATAATGTTACAGTATTAAATAAACATGACTATCCACCTCCCTTAAATTATTTCTACTGTAAATGGGAATTTTTGTATAATCAATTGTTCAGAAGCAATGCCCTCTTTGGAATCAGACTGCATTTATAAAGAGGACTCTCTTCGAAGAGCAGTGGCCTCAGTCTGCTGCTTTGTATGTGCTTGTCCTGCCTGTTTTCCCCAGCACCCCTGAACCCCCATCTGCTGCCCCACAAAACATGATTAAAGCACCCATCAGGGAAGATTATGCCGCCACAACCTCATTTCTAGTTTGTTTTTGCTGTGATTCTGTCTTTGGGACCTTGAACCTGTCTGTGGCCCTTTAGACTTTGTGTTTGCACTTGGTCATTCAGATGTTTGAACTTCTGATCCCGCTAACCAACTATGACTCTCTAATGCGTGTTGTTCTGAGATGCCTTGAATAGAAATTCCTGCCCTAATATTGACTTCTTGGATTTCAGTCTCTTTTAGTAACTGCTTGACATGTACCTTAGCTAAGCCTGACGTAGGGAATCCTGAATGATGAGAATCCTGATGGCCTGTCATTGGAAAAATACTTAAAATTTTAGTTGGGCTAGGTTTAACTACATGCAGTTGCCAACATATCTACCTTAGTTAGCTTAACAAAAATATTGTAGTGAGGCTTAGTGAAGTATGGAGAGGAGATTGGTTTTTGTCTTAGATCAGAGTGACCTTGAACAAGTCAGTTCATCTTTTTGGACCAAGTTCCTCTTTTTTGTTAAATGAAGAAATAAATTAATACTTAGGGTTTTACCTGTGCTAACATTCTTCGAGTGTCCATCTGGATTAGGTATGATGGAGATAGAATGCTGGAGCTCATAGATTTTTCAGAAGAGAAAGTGTCTCAAACTCTGATAATACCAGCCACATAATAGCTTTATCAGGTTTCTCAAATTTTCTAAGGTTAGGAATTCTTATCTGTAAACTAAGAATATTAGAATCTATATAATGAGATGGAAATGTCATTTCAGGTTTTTCTATATATTGTTTAAATGCCTTTTCTTATTGCTCACTCTCGTTTTTCTTTCACATTTTTATCCCTTCTCTTCTCAGTGCCAGGTGGATGGTAAAATTTGTCAGTCTAGTTCAGTCAGCTTTAGACAGAGGAATGAACTCTCTATCCCTGAGGAATTTGGATTGCCTTAAAGTTTTCTAAGGAAGGGATTTTAGGAATTTATTACTCTTATTAAGGTAATCAGGTAATTAAGCCATTTAGTGGGTGTTATATTCTGAGCTATTTGGTATTACTTTTAAACTCACCTAATTACCTGAGTAATTGCCATATATCCACTTCACTTTGTATGTTGTAGACAGTTTAACACACCATCTTTTTGAATTTTATTTTTAAATTATTTTCCACTTTATAACCCTTTTTCATCTGAGGAGATTCAGAGACTAGCCAGTTAATTATACTACATAGAATTTTTAATTCACTTGCTCCTTTTATTAACATATGAGTTGCTAAAGAGATCTAATTGAGAGATTGATCTTTCTCAAAATTAAGATACTAGAACTTTGAATAAATTATGACGTTTACTCTCGCATGATGCTTTCCCTATTTTACACTATTGAGGCTTCTGTTTTTGGTAGGTGTCAATATGTGGATTTCCTAACAAATGATTTGTTATCCTAAGACAAACAGCTGAAGAAATCAGCTAATACATAGAAGTCCATTTCTCATCATGGGAACAGGATTTTTATATGCTTCAGTTAGTGTTGCTGTTGTCAGAGTTGTCTCTTTAAGGTTCTCAGGCAGGCCAGCCAGTGAAGTTAACCTTACCCAGAATGCTTTTAACTTGTGCTGTATCTTTCATGGTGAAGTTCACTCTCCTTAGTCTACCATGAGAGTTTTTTGGAACCTGGCCCGTACGTTGCTCTATTGCTGCATCTCATTTCGCCCCTCAGTGCCGCCCTGTGTTCTAGCCACCCTAAACTGCTAGTTGAAGACTTTGCACCCCTAACCCTTTTTACTGTGTCTTGTTGCTAGAATCCCCTTCATCTTCTGCACACAAGGCTGACCATCTCATATGAAATATGAAATGGGGCTGAGACATCTCCATCTTTTGGCAAGTTAATGGAAAGAGTACAGGACTTACTTTATGATTAGGGCTTTACCCTGCATCATTTCACTTAATTCTTTCTTTAAAAAACATCCTTTTGAGGTTGTTTCTATCACTGTCTCCATTTTACAGATGGGGAAACAAAGCCAAGGATGGTTGAGTCATTTGTTCAGGGTCACAGAGATAGTTACTAGTAGAACTGAATCTCAAAACCAGACTTTTCTGATCTTAAAAACGGATTTTCTTACCACGGTTGTCTAAAGTGAGAAAAACTTTTCATATCAAAAGAGATTCAAGGAAAATGTTACAGGAATTTAGAGGAGGCAAAAATGTATTCCAGCTGTCAAGGTTTTGAAAACCAGATGTTATGTGAACTTCAGTTGCCTGAAAAATAAGAAGTTTGCGTGTAGACCTTTTGTGGGCTAGGACCAAGGAGGGAGAAAGAAGTGCTTCCTTCCCTAAGAGCTTAAGGAAGAGCAGCAAGTCTCCACAGGCGTTCTTGAAAATATTATGATCATTAACAAGACATTGTTGCTTAAACTAGCTTTGGAACTTTACCACTGCCTGAATTGTTTCCTTCAAATGCAAATTAGCATGTGCAGATTAAAGTTTCAGGCCAGCCTTAAGGACTGGCAGTGACCTAAGTGATTGGCAGTGGAAAGGTACATGGGAGGGTTCCGCATCCCTGTTCTCTACCTGAAATTCTAGTGGTGTCTGAGACTTACCCCTAGAGACTATTCCTTTGTATTATAAAGATTTAGTCTTCAGTAGCCCCTTCATGAAAATGTGGAGTCCAGTTAAGCACTCACATTCTAGCCAGAAGGTCAATGGTTTGAATCTACCTAGAGGGGAGCTCTGGTAGCATAGTGGCTAAGGCACTTGACTGCTAACCAGAAGGCTGGCGGTTCAAACCCACCAGCCACTCCTCGGAAGGAAGGTTGGGCAATCCTACTTCCGTAGTGATACTGCCTCGGAAACCCAAGGAGGGGTCGCTATGAGTCGGGGCCAACTCGACGGCAAATAACAACAACAACAACAGAGGTACCTGGGAAGACAGGCCTGGTGATCTGCTTCTGAGAGGTCACAGCCTTGAAAACCCTATGGAGCAGTTCTGCTCTGAACGCATGAGAGTATGAGATCAGTGACGGCTTCTCTTAGAAGAGCAGCTACCACTTACTAAAGAGAAGACTCCAGGAGACATGCCGAAAATCTAACTAAAATTCCCCTTATTCCTACTACGTAGTTAAACCTTGCTTGAGTCATGTTAAAAACGGTTTAGTTACCAGACATATTTGTCCTTAAAACAGATTACTAGAACTAAAATTTCAACTTTAAAAATAAAATAATAATCTAGCAGTGTCTTACAATGATTTATTATTAGGGTTTCCAAGGCTGTAATCTTTACAGAAGCAGACTGGCACATCTCTCACTGAGCAGCTGGTAGGTTCAAACCACCAACCTTTCAGTTAGCAGCTGAGTGTTTAATGACTGTGCTACTGGATGTCCTTTAAAAACGTTTACTTTCATGAAATAGGGAAAAATTCCTCTACAAGCAAAGATTAAAGATTGAATTGAATCAATTAAAGGTAGTTTAAGGCAAGCCAAACAAACCTTTGCTACCTCTCATATATTTCAGGCATGTTGGTCAACTGACTATAATATTTTAATTGACCTAATAAATCCACATACTGAAAAAATAACAATGTCAATTGATGTGGTAGATTCACTTAATAAATCCTTTTTGTGAAGTTTATATTGGTATTCTCGGTTGTAGAACTGAGTCACTTGATAAATTTTTAGAGTGCTTTGACATTCTAATTAAAAGAACAGATAATTTAAAAAGAAACAGAAAGGTGATTATACTGAGTTTCCTTGCTTCCAAAGCTGTTCATAAGAGTATTAACACATTCAGAACCCTGAGTGTTTTGTTGAGAAAAAATGCATTGCTCTTTCTGGAATTCTTTTTGTGGAACTTAAATAGTGTTGCAGAGAACTTACCATGCTATTTGGTCTAATATCTTCAACAAAAATAGTAATATTTTGGAAGACACAAGAAATCCCAATTGATAAGCCAGAAAAAAAAAAAAAAATTGATCCCTGTATCTTTACCCATCTGGTAGGATCCTTTGAAAATGCCTCTTGTGGGTTTTCATTTTTGAGATAAAGTAACTTTGATCAGGGCATGTGTACTTTACTAGTGTTTTCAGGATGTGTTTGAGGATATGTAAAACCTGTGACCCTATCCCCAGAAAAATATGTGTGTGCAAATATTTTGCATATAATTTCAGGGAATTCATCAGTCCCTGAAGCCTATTCAGGATTCCTGGCCTAGAGAAGTTAACTGTGTCCTTAAGTCACATTGTGTCTTTACTTCATACTTAGACTGCAGGTCTTATTATTGGCAATTAATATTAAGAAAAGAGAAAGGTGACTGGGATTAAATATTGTCTTTTAGGAATAGCCTTTTAGTTTTGAAAGTTTTCGAGCCTAAAGCTTCCAGATGTTATTGGTCTGAATTTTTACGTAAAGATTCCACTCAATGGTGTTGTGTTTGTCGGGGTTTAAAATGCAGGGTGGTTTGCTGTTCAGCAGCAATTTGGACACTTAAGCCACAGGAGACTTTTCGTTTAATGTAAATGTCTGGTGCTGCTTCTCACGTTTTGCATTTGTAAAAGAAAGATAAATTAACATCAAATACACACAATAAAAGTAAAATTACTTACCTGAAATGAATTACTAATTCTGTGCTTATTGTTTTTCTTAATTTCATTTTATTTGGAATTAATTTTCTCTAATATCTTTAATGAAAAATTATCAATATAGCTTGTTTTTACTATTCTTGCCCAGTAGATGGTACTGCCAGCCTTATTTTGAAACACTGTATTTTCAGACTTGATCATTAAATATTTTTTTTCTTTCGTTAAGCTTTCTTTTTTTCTAAGAAGAGAAGTTATTTTAGCCTAATTCCTTCCAATTAACTTTACCACCTTGTAGACTAACCTTTCTCGCTGTTACTAGTCATAGTACACACATGTTGCCTGGTAACTTGCAACTGGAAATGATGTGGTTGGGAAAAACATTTTTCCCTTTCTTTAAGTATTTCGACCCATTCATTTTAGAAAGTGAGTGCTTTTTAATTGTGGACTATGTGCAGAAAATTGTTTAAGATACTGGTTTCATTTGTGGAAAAAGTAATTATTGTTACTTTTACTTAATTTTTTTTTTTACTTGTAGTCTATGTGTAGGTTAGTAAAATAAATAATTCTGTTGGCAAGTAGATCATACTGATTATTTAGATTGGGAAATGGAGGGCTTTATTTAAATAATCTCTATTTCCATGCTCATGGTATATCTTTGTGAAAGATGTAAACACTTGAAGTTTTTTTCATTTTGAGTGTCTAGCTCTTTGTCAGCTGTTAAAATCAGTGGATCCCTAATGTCATTTTGTTTTTATGGAAAAACAAAGAATACAGAAAACTGTTTGAGGACTAGGTTTTTGCATACAGTGGCTAAGCCTTCAACATATACACATGATAGAACAAGGTTATTGCAGAAACATACTTTGGCAGGGAGTATTCAACATGTAGGACTGAAATAGCCACAAGATCAAAATGCGCTTACTTTTTTGGTGATAAAATTTGTCTGTAGTTAATAGATTTCTTTAAATCTCCCAGATATTTATCCAGTTTAGGTGACCTAGAGTTGAATATAATGGAACATTCTAAAAAGCAGGGAGAGAGACCGTGTGTGTGATGCTAGGGGGTGACATGGCTCATTCTTTGGCCTTCCAAGCCCACATCCTAGTATAAGGATATGAACCTACAGGCTGTTGTTGTTGTCAGGTGTCATTGAGTCAATTTCGACTTTTAGTGACAAAGTAGACTGCTCCTTTGGGTTTTCTATGGGGTCAGATCACAGATCTTTCTTCTGTGGAACTACTGCTGAGTGGGTTCGACCCTTCAACCTTTCTGTTATTTCTCAGATATTCTTTTTTTTTTTTTTTTCAGAATTAGATAATGACAGACAAGTTGTTTCCTGGAAAAATAGCGTTTCTCCTTTTACTAACCTTGATTATTAATTAAGCAAGAATATGAAATTTTAAAAAAGATTGTGTGCAAACAAATGAAGTGTGTTTGAAATTACAGACCGTGTTAAGTGGGCTGACAGTTCTACAGGCCACACAGAGTTGTCTTATCCTTACGTACTTTGTTTTGTTGCTGCTTTCCTGAATTTCCAAATGAGTAAAATATAAAGGTCTTCATACTGGTGGAAGGCATACCTAGATAGAGTTGTTGAAATTAACTTTTAAACATAATTTGGCTTTATGACTATCAGTGTCAGCCATTAAATGATTACTGTTCTGAACTCTTTTGTAAGTTTTGCTTCTTTCTACTTTGTTGACACTAGTTTCGAGTAAATGAGTTTGGAGCCCTGGAAGTGATTACAGATGAGAGTGAGATGGAAAATGTTAAAAAAGCAACTGCCACCACCACTTGGATGGTGCCAACTGCTCAAGAAGGTAAGAAAGGGCCATCTGTGTTTTAGTGCCATCATCTTTTTAATTTTTTTGTAAGTTTTAAAGTAAGAGTATCTAAAGTTTTTATAATAGGATGGAATGTTGAAAATCCTGGGTGAATTTCATGTCACATGTTCTTATGTAAAGTTCTATAATAATACTGACATGGAGCCAGCTTTTATCTTTTAAAGTAGCTATTAACTATCTTCTTTCCTAATGCCAGATCTGTAATAGCACAAGGTTAATTGAAAATGATCGAGTAAATCCATGTTGTAATAGTCTACCCAGGTGATTTAGCCTTTAAAAGTCTGCCACTTTTTTTCTCATCTACTCCGATGGTTGTAACTAACACCTATATGCTGATGAATCCTAAATCTGTATCTCCAGCCCCGACCTCTCCCCCGAGTTCCAGGCCCGTATTTCCACCTGCCTACTGGACATCTCCACCTGGATGTCCCACAGGTACCTCAAACTCCACATGTCTGAAATGCAGTTCATTTTCTATTTCTCTTTCCCCTCCCCTCAAACCTGCTTGTTCTTCTGTATCCCATATTTCCAGTTGATTGTAGCACCATCCACCCAGAGTACAAGCAAGAAATGTAGGAATTCATCCTGAATTTGTTCTTCCCCACCCCCATATTCTGTTACTTAATCCTCCTAGTCTTTGTTGCTTAAGTCTCTCTCAGATCTGGTCTCTTTCTGCCTATTATCACTGCCACTGTCTTAATGTAGACCCTTATCAACTTTCACATGAAGTATTACAGAAGTCTCTTAATTAATCACTGCTTCTGATTTCACCCCTTTTCAGTTTATCCTGCACACTGAAGTCACAGGGACTTAATGTTGATTGCTTATCTGATGCTTCAGCGATTTCGTACTGCCTCTCTAGCAAAACATACGAAGCTCTGGGTGACTTACGCCCTTCTCCTTTCTGTGTCTCCTCACTCTCTGTTCTGTTCTTTGTACACCATGTTCTGGCACTGCCAGCAGTGCTGAATTACACGTAATTCTCTCAACACATCATGTGGTTTCATGCTTCTTTGCCTTTGCTCATAATGTTTCTTCTGGCCCAAATGCCATTTCTCTCTTTGTTCAGTTGGTCAATTCCTATTTGGCCTTCAAATCCCTGTGGAGGCTTTATGTTAGAAAATCCTTCCCTGACCTCACTCCAGGCTGAATGAATCACTTCTTCCTCTGTACTACCTCTGGAACTGCTCATGCTTCTATTATTGCATGTATCACATTCTGTGATAAATATTGGTTTTCCTATCTGTCTTCTCTTCTGGACTGTGAGCTCTCTTGAGCAAAGTCTGTACTGTCATGATCAGTGTCTAGAGTAAATTGGTGCCTAATGAATGTTTGCTGAATGAATGATTAGCCTAATGATTCAGACAAAAGGAAATGTGAGTTCCTAAATGATTTGGATAATTATGATTCAAGAGATCTGTTACTAGGCATTAAAAGTAAATTAGAGAGGTATTGACTTAGCCAATTAAATAAAACAAAATTGCTCATCAAGAAGGTTATAAAAATGAAGCAACATAGATGACCCTTTTTAAATTTTGTCAAAAATAAACCCTTTAAGAAGAATTTTACGGTTTGAGCTTCTGAATTTAGTGATTAATGTAATTTTTCCCACTTTACCTTGAACTCCATAGAAAAATATTTAGACAAGCTTTCATTTATCTTTTCTGCAGAATCTATGTTTTTTGGCTTGTAAATGATTCAAGTGAATCCTTCTAAGCCTATCCCCTGCTCTTTGAAGTGCTATAGTCTAGCCATTCATTCATTCAACATACATTCTTTTATTGTATTGCTAACAAAATTACTAGAAGAAAAAAATTTCAACGTATTTTGGAAAGTCTTGTGCCATGGTTTTAATTTGGTGTTGGTCTTCTTTTCATATTCTAGTCTTTTCAGAGAAGACTGGGATGCCTTTCAGGTTGAAGGATCCAGTGAAAGTAGAAGGGCTTCAGTTCTGTGAGAACTGTTGTCAGTATGGCAACGTAGATGAGTGTCTTTCTGGAGGAAACTATTGCAGCCAGAATTGTGCTCGGCATCTCAAGGACAAGTAGGTTTTTGCCCCATTCCTTTTATAAAAAGGGTTTTAGAAGTTTTGTGTCTCCGATGCCTGTCACCCATTTGTTCCTTATTTTAGAGACATTCCCTTTATGTGCACGTGGATCCTGTACCTTTTACTGGACTTAAGTGACTTCTGTCATATCTCCTATTTCGTCTGACTTGTACTGCTCATGTTCTGCCTACATTACCACCTTTGCCTCTGTTTTCAGCCTTTGTTTATGTTAATTTAATGGCTTCCTGGCTAAGAGTATTTAGATTTTTCTGGGCTGCACGTTTTGACGGTACTGACCTTTATGGAGGTGCAGTTTGTTATATTCTGGGTATTTTAGGTAATTCAGCTAAAACTCTGTATTTGGAACAAAGCTTCACTGATGGGGAACCATCTGAATGAAAATGACCAGGGTGGATAGTGTAGTGAGTCTCATTATTGCTCCTTTCAGTGCAGATTGGGGATTATGAGACAGGTACATCAGCTTGACAGGCAGTGGCGTGACTGACAGTGCCATTTGGAGAATATCTGACAGAATTTAGTTCATCACCAAGGAGGAGTATTTCTTGCATAAAAGCGTATACTACAAATAACTGACTTGACATTTACGTTTTAGTGGTGTTTCCCATGTATTTTAATCAGCACAAGCTTGGGAACTCTCTTGCTTTTATTGACCAACAGATGATTTACAAAACTACTTTTGGGCTCCTTCAGTTGGACTTGTCATTCTTAGTAATTGCTAGATCCGTGCTTTCACATTGCCCTGAAGACTCACATATCTCCAAATAATCAATTTATGGCAGATGGGAAAGAAAAATAATTTGAAGCTTGTTAGAACCTGTTTCACATATATTACTGGTCCTCTTTTGAGAGTAATATAACATAGTCTCCACTTTCTCCTTTGGCAGCTGTCATACATAATGATATTGTTAAATATTACTTATGTATGATGTTCTAATGCCTATACATTTCTCCTTGTGGTTAAATATTTTTCCTTTGGAGGTTTTTTTTTTTTTTTTTTTTTTAATGTGTGCATTGATAATCAACATGTAGTTTTCTGATAGATATTGCTTCCTGTCACTATTTTGGGTTCATAAACACAACAGAGATCAGAAAGAAGAAAGGGACATAGGAGAAGACAATGAAGAAGAAGATCCTAAGTGTAGTCGGAAGAAAAAGCCAAAATTATCTTTGAAGGCTGACCCCAAGGAGGATGGCGAAGAGAGAGATGATGAAATGGTTAGTATCTCTTAGGTAACTACCAGTGAACACCAGGATTCTTGTTAAGTGGATAGTATCGTGGTCACGGCACTGGAAATGGATGCACTGGATCTGGATCCAGTGACTTGAGTTCAAGTTAGTTCTAGCCCTGTCTGTGTTATCCTTAGCACATCATGTAGCTTCTCTGTGATTCACTATCCACTTCTACGAAATGGAAGTAATAGTATCCCTTGGACTGAGAAAGGCAACAGGCAAATCTTTCATTTTGCACATGAATCTTAATTTCCTCTCGACCGCAAAATACTAATTCCTTCTTGATAAATTGTAGACAGAGCTCGTAAAACACTGGAAAGGGGTAGGAAATGGTGGGTAAATATCAGATATCAGGAGAAATAATTAAACGTGCAAATTAAAACAAGTATCTTACACCCAGGATATAAGCTAATGAAAAGAGAATTTTGAGGTGGTGAGGTATTTTTCCCTTTGTAGATCAGTGCTGAGTAACTCTTATTTGTTAGTTACTATTCTAGGAGCTGGGGATACAGGGGTAAGTAAGCCAGAAAGCAAGGGCAATGTCTCCTTCTGGTATATTGCATTCTTGTAAGGGAGCACTGGTAGCGCTGTGGTTAAGGCATAGGGCTGCTACACAAACGTCAACTGTAGGCACTCAGCTGCTCTGCGGGAGAAAGATGAAGTGGTCTGCTTCCATAAAGATTTATAGCCTTGGAAACCCTAGGGGGTCACTATGAGTCAGAAACACTCAGTGGCATTGAGTTTAGTTTGGATTGTATTCTTGTTGAGAGGACACAGAAGAAAAAACAAATAAAATAAAAAAAATCAGCTAGTGCTAAGTGCTATGCTGACAATTAAAGTGTTAGGATTGGCCTTAGAACTAAACTGGGTTGTAAAGGAAGGCTTCCCAAAGAAGGTGACATGAGCAATATGATCTGAATAATAAGAGCCAGCCGTTTAAAGTAGAGTGAGGAGCCCTCTAACCTAGGAATCATTAAAGTTTTTTATAAGACCATGTATTAGCATGCTCTGTTCAAGAAATTTAAGAGAGAAAATATTGTTGAGCATTGAGGTTAGAGGAATAATGGAGTAAGATGAGGTTCTGTAAGCCTTTAGAGTAAGGGATTTTCATTTTATTCTGTGATTGGAAGCCACTGGCAAGTTGAAGGCGAGGGAGTACTTTGAGGTTTTCAAACGATCACTGTAACTCTGGTATGTGGAAGCAAGAGTAAAATCAGAGAAAGCAGTTTGGGGTTTGTTGCAGTGGCCTAGGTAAGTGGTGAAGGTAGTGTGGGCTAGGAGATAGAAGTGAATGGATTTGGAATATACGTTGGAGGTAGAGTTACCAAGACTGGCACAATACAGGAAGTGTGAGAGAGGGAGAAGAATCAGGGATAATGCTTAGATATTGGCTTGAACAATTGACTGGATGAAGATACAGTTTATTAAGTGATAGGAGAGAGTCCTTCCGGCCATACTGAGTTTGAGATGCTTATTAGACATCTAAGTGAAGGTACCAACTAAGTTGGATTCACGAGTGTAGAGTTCAGATAACAGGTCAGAGTTGGAGATGGTGATCGGGGTCTTTGATGTAAAGATGATCTTTTAAACCTAGGGAGAATGGTGAATGGCTAGATAGAGAAGAGAAGGGGGCCAGGGATAAAGGAGACACCAGCAAAAGATATGGAGAAAGAGTGGTGAGTGAGGTGTGAGGAAAACCAGAGCAGAGCAGTCGTGGAACTAAGAGGAAGGAAAAGAGGAGGGAGAAGTATCTGTGCTAGTCCAGAGTGCGATTCTTGGAAACAGTTTCACTTTGATGACCTCAGGCCAAAACCAACACAGTTCTCAAATGACCTATATATTTTACTTTCCTTAAAAGTTATGAAGTGAAATTGAAGGCAAGTACAAAAAAAAAAAAAAAAAAAACCAGCTTTCTAACTTTTTATTGGTACCAATTTCAAGAATGTTTAAAGTCATAATTTTCCTTTCTTGTTGTAGGAGAACAAACAAGATGGGAGAATCCTGAGAGGTTCACAAAGAGCCCGAAGGAAAAGACGGGGTGATCCGGCTGTATTAAAGCAGGGTGAGTTGATGAAAGGGAAGTTTACTTGTAACTTTATGAAACGGAAAATAATTCACACAGGTGGAAGGTTTAGACTAACTGTAATGCAGACAATGGCCATTAAAGTATTTACTTTGGGATTAAATTAAATTTGGTCAATAAAGTTAGGATTTTGAAGAAGTAGATAAGGAGATAAAAAGAAATGAGAACTTTCAAGTCACTTTATGACAAGTGTGAGATCATCTTTTTTTAATTTCCATCGAGTAGACTTCTACTTCCTCACTTTTACTTATGTTCCACTTCCCAAAACTTAATATTTTTAATGTTTCCTGTCAAACAGGAACTTCCTGATGTTATACATTTTTTTTTCCTTTCATTGGTCCTCAGGCAACCCGTGGTTCTCATGCGGTTCTTGGACCCTTTCCTGTTCCCTCATACTTTACTGGATGAACTCACTGCCTTGTTCAGCAGTGGCCTTAGTTCATTTCCCTAGAGGCCCCAATGTTGTCCTTTCAGTTGCATCTCCTTGACTTGCTGCATCTGCAGGCCAGTCCTTCATGTTAGCTCACCACACCCTGCTCAGTCCCACTCTCACTCTGCACAGGCCGTCCTGTGTCTGCAAATCAGTGTCATGAATCTACGATTCCCCTTCACTCCTTGTATGAATCCTCGCTTGTTCACCCGCACATTAGTTTCCTAGAGCTGCCGTAATAAAGTACCACAAACTGGGTGGCTTTTACCAATGAAATTTATTGGCCCACAGTTCTGAACGTTAGCATTCCAAAATCAGAGTACTGGCCTTGTAAATTCCTTCTGAGGATAGATGCTTCTCTCCTAACTCCGAGTGATGACCCGTGAGCCGCAGCATTCCTTGACTGTAGATCACTTCAGATCTTTACCTCCATCTTACATGGCTGTCTTCCTTCTGTGTGCATCTTCATGTGTCTTCTCTTCTTTCATAAGGACACCACTCGGATTGGATTGGATTAGGACCCTCCCTACCCAGTATGACTCATGTTAACTGATAACATTTCCAGAGACCCTATTTCCAAAGTTATGTTCATAGATATGAGTTAGAACTTTAGCGTATCCTTTGAGGGGGCCACAGTTCAATCCATTAACAATCTGTTAATTGCTCAAAAAGAGTTGGAAATACTTCTGCCTCAGGCATGCAGCCTCACTTACGTCTTTTGGCAGATGACCTTCTATTTAATTCTCTGACATTAAAGGCAATAAATTCCTTACTTATCCTTTACTTTCTCTCAGAATGTATATTTCTTTATGCTTTGTGCCAGATGAAATTCTAGGACCCTGGTCCTTCTGGGACATTGTTCCTTCAGTCCTCCTTTTCTAATTTCTTAGGTTTTCAGATTTATTTTCTTTTTGTAAATTCTGTCTTTGTCTGCTAAATCTCATTGCAAAAATACCTTTTCCCAACATAGTTACCCTTCAAGCAATTGCATTCTTTCTTTCGTTCTCACCATTGTAAAATTAATCCAATAAAGTTGATTTTAACTACCTTCTTGGAAGGAAGATGGGGCAATCTACTTCCCTAGTGATAACCACCTCAGAAACCCAGGGGGGTGGGGTCCACTGTGAGTCGAAAGCGATTCCACAGCAGTGAGTGAGCTATGTCTTTATCACTAATGTATTCTTTTGCACCTCACTCTAGGACTCTAGCTGCATTGATTTGTTTTCCCCTCTTTAAGATTAACAGTCATTTCCTACAACTCAGTGCACTAGCCTTTTCTCAGGCCTTGTCCTCTTGCTCTTTTAGGAAAACAATTTGTGAGCGTCCTGCATATAGAAGCTTTCACTTCCTTAAAACTTCCATGTTACTTCTCTGTTGTGGTTTTCTGCTATGTCTTTTCCTTTCATGTGGAGTTCTTTTGCTTCTTTCTTCTCCCCTCATAACTGTGGATTACTTCTCAGCTCTCCTTTTTTAGGAAGCAGAGCCAGGAAAAGAGAGAGCAGTACTAGGCATGGAAGTAAGAGAAGAGCCAGGAAGAGCAGTAGTCAGGGAAGTGAAAGCTGACTAAGTAGACCTTTGATTTCTTAGATTTGGAAATATCATCTTAGTTTCTCTTTCCTTTCAGGTTTGCCTGCTAAAGGAAAGAAAGCCTGGTGCTGGGCATCCTACCTGGAGGAGGAAAAAGCTGTTGCCGTGCCAACAAAGCTGTTCAAAGAGGTATGGGCCCTTCTAGAAAGCACTATTTTGTGAGGGCAAAGGAGCTAGAATACTGATCTGAAATTAGTACTGTCATTTCCATTGTCTATTTAGGAAATGTTGCTTGGAATAATTTCTCAGACATACTGTTTTTTCATGGTGTATTTATGTGGAGAGGTCCCTGGGTGGCACAGATGGTTTGCCTTCAACAACTAACCTAAAAATTGGTGGTTTGAACTCACCCAGCAGTGCTCTGGAAGAAAGGCCTGGCCATCTGCTTACATAAAGAGTAGAGCCAACAAAAACCTACCTTGTAACACATAGGGTCCCCGTGAGTCGGAATCTAGTTGAAAGCAGTAGGTTTGGTTCTTCTGGTTTTATTTAGGTGGGGGGGCACTTCTAAGGGTAGTTAGCCTTAACCTATGCACATCTCTGCCCTAGTGCCACACACATGGGCGTACACTGATACATGCACCCTCTTTTTCTCAACATTTACTAGGATTTCCCTCATTAATTTTAACACGCATACTTCTACTATTGGAAAACTGGTGTAAAATCCTGTCAATAATATGGCTTTGAAAGGATGAAAATCAGTTATTAAGGCTTACGTTATTTTACAACAAAACAACTAAAGTTGGGTTGTTAACATTTTATTAATTATAAGTGATTTAAAAATCAGGTAAAAGTATAGCCATCGAATACAGTTCCAAAGGAGCACCTTCCCCTGGATTAAAATAGAGGTTGGCAGACTTTTTCTGTGAAAGTCCAAATAGTAAATATTCTAGACTTTGAGGGGCATCTGGTCTCTGTTGCCAGAGTGTAATTCTGCTGTACTGGCACAAAAGCGTCCATAGACGGTACTTAGCGGGCTGTGCAGGGCTGGGTTTCTGTAAAACTTGTTTGCAAAAGCAGGCAGTGGGCCTGCTTTGATCCCCGATTTAAATGATTAAAGTACATTTAATTATGGTATGTAATAAGTCTGTCATGTTGTTGCTGTTAGTTGCCTTTGAGTTGATTCAGTGTATGGAGACCCAGGTGTTGCAGAGGAAATCAGCTCCATAGGGTTTTCTTGGTTATAATCTTAACAAGAGCAGATTGGCAGGCCTTTGACTCCATGCATTTGAACCTTTAGGTGAGCAGTTGAGTGCACACCATTTGTGCCATCCATTTGAGACCTAAATCTTTCCCAGATGCCCATGTATATGTGTGTGTGTGTATGTGTATACGTATGTGTGTATATGTGTGTGTGTATATGGGTAGTAAGGAGTTTTTAAAAATGATAAATAAGAAATGGTAGGATGATTACATCTACATTAAGAATATTTCACTTAAATACAATATTGATTACATATGAATTTGTTCTATATAATTATTTTCTGTAACTTTTGTCCTTTATGGAATAGAATTTTTAACTTTAAAAAAAAAAAAAAAACATGTTTAGAGCTCATTAGTTGAATTAGTACTAAATTCATGTGATTGAAAATGTAAAGTTACTAGAAGAATATGAAGTGTGTCCCTAGGCATCACACTAGCCTCTCCGGACCAGCCACTGGTTCTAATTTCTTACACATCCTTCCTGGGAAATTGTACATACATGTAAGCAATAGATGTGCATAGCTCCTCCCCATCTCTTAAACTAAATTATGATATATGTTACCTACTGTTTTGACTTTGCTTTTTTATTGAACTTGATAACTTAGAGTTTATTCCATTTCCCTTCATTATTGCCTTTATTACTTTTTTAAGCTAGTGCATAGCATTCTCTTTCAGCCTGTTTCATAATAGTTTAAGCTTTTCTCTACTGACATACATAGTTGTTTTCAAATTTTTCACTACATAATGTGTTAGTGAATAATCTTATCACCTGTCACTTTGCACATGTGAGTATCTCAGTTGCATAATTTCCTAGAATTAGAATTGATGTATCAAAAAGAATTTTCATTTTTAAATTGCCAGAGGTTGCACCAGTTTACACCCTTCTAGTGATCCATGTGTGTGTCTTTTTCCCTACAGCCTTGCTAACACATGTGATCCCACTTTTTGTCTTTGTGTGTTATCCATCTTTTTGATCTTTACCAATCTCGTAGGTGAAGTATATCTTAGTTTAATTATGTTTTGTATGACTCTTACAGGTGAGATTGAGCATCTTTTGAAATATGTAAAAGCCATTTAAATTTTCTTCTCTGTGACTTGTTCATAACTTTTGTCCAGTTCCCTGTTGGATCATTCATTATTCCTTTTCTTGTAAATTTTTAGAAATTATTGATGTATTTGGTTAAATAGTCTTCGAGAATGATAATTAAAGACATTTTTAACTTAGGCCCACAAGGTAACATACTAAAACTGCTGTTACTGTATTTTTTAGTATCAGTCCTTTCCATATAACAAAAATGGGTTCAAGGTCGGCATGAAACTAGAAGGTGTGGACCCCGAGCATCAGTCTGTATACTGTGTTCTCACAGTGGCTGAGGTAAGTTTTGTCTTGTCTTTATTTTTTAAATTAAAAGGCATTAGGAGTTGTAATAATGAGAAAAGCTATGATTTGTTGAGTGCGAAAAGCTATAATTTGTTGAGTGCTTGCTTCATGCAAGATTTTATATACCTTGTCTCATTTAATCTTCATGAGAATCCTGTGTTTTTAACCTTTGTTTTATATATAAGGGAACTGAGGCTTTAAGAAATGAAGTGATGTGCACAGACCTGTGCAACTTGAAAGGTAGAACCAGAATTTGAACATAGGTCCATCTGACTCCATAGATAGAGCCAAACTGTGTGAGTTCCTTAACAGAAGACTTTAAACAAATACTTGGGCCTTTTTGTATGGAATTGGCTTTGTGAAATTTTTTAGGAAAAAATATCCAAGTCAGTCCAATATATTAATAAAGAGCACATTTTCCCCTGTGCTAGCCTCCTAAGCCAGAGAGATAGTCTTTTCTTTCCTCTTATTTTTATTCTTATTCATTCCTGTCTCCCTCGTTCCCTTCCTCCTTCCTTTATTCCTGAGAAAAGACTGGAGAATGTTGGAATTCTGAAGCAGCCATTGGAGAGTAGAGTAGTAGAAGGTTCAGAGAGAATAAATAATTGATAAAAAGAGGATGGAAGAAAATGGGATCCTGATGTATGAGGAGGCAGACACAAGCCTTAGCCAGAGGGAGGAGTCTTTTCTTCCATTGTAACAGGAGGGACGAGGAAAAGGATGGGTGCAAGAACGTTTGTCATTTACAAGGCAGACATTTGAGGGAGCTTCTTTGACATAGAAGATAAATATTGGCTGAGAGGGAAGATGTAGATAATAGGTTTAGAAACTGAAGGAGAGAGGAGAGGATTTGAAAAGGCTGAGAACAGGAGAAGAATGTTGTCTTAATTATCTAGTTCCAACAATTAACAGATAACCACAAGTAGGGGGCTTTAATAAACAGAAATTTATTTTCTCATAGTTTTTTTTTGTTGTTGTTATTTGCCGTCGAGTCGGCCCCGACTCATAGCGACCCCTCCTTGGGTTTCTGAGGCAGTATCACTACGGAAGTAGGATTGCCCAACCTTCTCATAGTTTGTTGTTGTTGTTGTTATTTGCCGTCGAGTCGGCCCCGACTCATAGTGACCCCTCCTTGGGTTTCCGAGGCAGTATCACTACGGAAGTAGGATTGCCCAACCTTCCTTCCGAGGAGTGGCTGGTGGGTTTGAACCGCCAGCCTTCTGGTTAGCAGTCAAGTGCCTTAGGCACTAGAAATCCAAATTCTGGGTACTACCTTTAATGGACTCGATGGCACATAACAACAACAACAACAACCACCTTTAACGGAAGGCTTTCTCTCTCTGCTGGCCCTGTTGGAAGGTCCTTGTCTCTTCTGAGTGTCTGCTCCTGGGTGATCTTTATGTGGCTTGGCAGCTTTCTTTCCTCATATCTGCTTCCTTAAACAGCTCCTTTTACATTTCATAAGAGATTGACTCAAGACATACCCTGCACTAATCCTGTCTCTGTAATATAACACAGACAACTCATTCCCAAATGGGAAACCATAGGCAAAGAGGTTAGGATTTACATTACATGTTTTTGGGAGAGACAGAGAAATCCATAACATCCCAGGCTGTGTTGTAATTGTTGTTAGGTGCCATTGAGTCAGCTTCGACTCATAGCTACCCTGCGTGCAACAGAATGAAACACCTGCACCATCCTTACAGTGCTTGCTATGCTTGAACCCATCGTTGCAGCCACTGTGTTGAGGGTCTTCCCTTTTTCACTGAACATCTACTTTATCAAACGTGACATCCTTCTCCAGGGACTAGTCCCTTTTGATAACATGACCAAAGTAGGTAAGATGAGGCCTGACTGTTCTCACTTCTAAGGAGTGTTCGAGGTGTCCTGCCTCCAGGACGGATTTGTTTGTTCTTCTAGCAGACATTGATACATTGAATATTCTTTGCCAACGCCATAGTTCACATGTATCAGTTTTTCTGTGATCTTCCTTATTCATTATCTACCTCTTATTGTTGTTATGTGCCTTCGAGTAGGACCCGACTCATAGCAAACCCTCCTTGGGTTTCCGAGCCAGTATGACTATGGAAGTAGATTGCCCCTTATTCCTTCCGAGGAGTGGCTGGTGGGTTTGAACCGCCAGCCTTCTGGTTAGCAGTCAAGTGCCTTAGGCACTACGTTACATGCTTTCAACCTTTGCCCATTTCTCAATTCCAAAATCACTTCCACAGTTTAGTTACCTTTTAGAGCAGTACCCAACTCTTCTGGTACCAAATATCTTAGGCTGGGTTCTCTAGAGTGCAAAACCAGTGAAGTGAATATATAATAAATATATGTATATACATACATATACATATGTACATACGTATACGTGTACATATTCATATGTATACATACATGTATATATGTAACAAAAGCCCATTGCCATCGACTCAATTCCGACCCTGTAGAACAGAGTAGAACTGCAGCATAAGGTCTCCAGGGCTGTAAATCTTTACAGAAGCAGATTGTCCCATCTTTCTTCCACAAAGCAGCTAGTGTGTTCAAACCACTGTCCTTTTGGTTCGCACCTGAGAGCTTTAACCACTGCACAACCAGAGCTATATATAGAGACAGAGACACAGAGAAAGTTAAGAAAATGACTCATGCATTTGTGGAGGCTGGCAAATCCCAAAGCTCGACATCAGGCTGTAGGCTTCTGACTCAAGTGGTTGCAGGGGCTGACAATCTTAAAATGGACAGATCTGGCAGCAGGCTGCTGGCTCACATTCCAGCAGCTGGAGGTCAGAAGATGACAAGTTGGATGGAGGATTGAGAAGAGGGCAAGCTTTGCCAGAGCACCAGAGCATCCATATATATTGGATGCATGCCACACCCCAAAATAAACTCCCTTTTTAACTCAGTAGCTGCTCATATCAGATCACAAAATGGAGGATGATTATATAATATCTGCCGAACCACTGAGAATCATGACCTAGCCAAGTTGACTAGTCAACTGTCATAGTCTACTCCTTGTCAGCGTAGTACCTATACACATCTCCTTAAACCATATATAATTTTTAAATAAAGACAATTATAAAATCATACCTAACATCTACAACTAACATGCATACAACCAAAAATGCACTAGCCCCGTTTATATCTTATGTTTTATAATAAGTAATAGAA